GCCGCCCCCCCCCCGCCCCCCCCCCCCCCCCCCCCCCCCCCCCCCCCCCCCCCCCCCCCCCGCAGAATAACTTACAGCATTGCCGGTAGAGAACTTCTTCTCGGTCGCGATGGCACCGCCGGCGCGCTTGGCGGCGTTCAGCGCGGAGCTGCCTCGCACGACGGTCTCCCGCTGCGATGCGCCTCCGCGAGCCTTGCTGCCGATCTTGGTGACCGAGTCCCACTCGTCAGACATCGTGAAGACGGGGATTGATTGATTTAGTTTAGCGGGGGGGGGGGGGGGGAGGGGTGAGAGTTAAGAATTAGGGTTGCCGAAATGGACAATTGGAATAGTTTCTCGAAGAGGTACGGATTTGATTTGTTATAAATAGCTGCGCGGGTTGTTGTATGGAGAACGTGTGAGTTGAAAAAGGTTAGAATGTAATGTTAATATAGATGTCCTTTTTTAAGAGCCGTGGAAGGCGAAGGAATGATGGTGGAAGTGGGCTGAAAGCGGAGCCTCCGCTGACTCAACGGGGCTGTTTTTTCTGGCGGGGAGGCAACCTTTGTGGCCTAGCCGGCTTAACACCTCTAACACCGACGTCTATTACGACACAGGACCATGTTGCAAAGCCACACTAAGAGGCTGAATTTTCTTAAAGGGTGAATATCAAATGGAACAATTCAATTGACACTGCCAAAGAACAGTTCGAACTCGATTCATACTCACATCCTTTTTCTATCTTAAGTCAAATAATGTAACTGTTTATAGTGTTTTACGGATTCACTCCAAGTAAACTCGAACGGCAAACAGTCATACCGGTTAGCTAAGATAAGATAAGAGATAAGATAATACTGTGGCTATTACATAGTACATGTCTCAAGTCCCTGATATCCTTACCGATGCATGAATGCTCCCATTTCTCAATCATGGAGTCTTCCAGCATTTCATTACACAAAAATATAAACCTGGTAATCTCATTCGTTCAAAGGTACATATGATCTGGTAATTTCGGGTGACAGCAGGAGTTCGTATCAGACGTATTGCTTTATTTAGATCGGCATTTTAAAGGTGTTCCGTGAACACCACACCACTCCCGACATGCTCGTATATGGCGTTATTCTGCGTATTGTCGCGTTATCTTATTACCTTCTTTTCGGACACGTTGGGGATGTAATACTCATTTCTTGTTCATTCCTCTGGTTCAGAGGTTCCGTGATCTCTGATTTCTTGAACATTAACTATGCCCTGGTATGTCTAGGGGCGACAGCCGTGGCTACAATTGCTTTCACTTATCTCATATACGTACAACGTCGTAGCCAAGATGTACGGTTATCTGTGCCATGGAACGGTCCAGGGCAGCCTTTGCTGTTCCCTTGTCAGACTACGCATACCAGGTTATTTCCTAAGAAGCACACCTTCTCTTATTCGTATCTCCTTGTTGGGATACCCGTCGGTTGGACAGGTGTCGCAGGCGGCATGATATCAAGTGACGAGTATAGCACGGGAGTTGGGGGTTGGTACAAGGTTGATGCTTCGGATTACCTCGATAGGGGAAACGGACATCTCGGGTTAAGGGGCAAGCTGGACGCCTACCTCGAATCCCAAGTGCGGCATCCCTTTGTTTACTGCGGAGAATCTAGAGCTAATTCGATATAGGACATTGATGCTTCCAAATATCCATATGCATATTTAGTAACTGCAGCGAAATTCATGGGTTATCATTTCAACCCTGTTTCCTTCTGGTATCTTTATTCTGCCGACAAGCACCTAGCAGCAGTAATCCTCGAAGTGAATAACACGTTCGACGAGAAACGGATGTACTTCCTAGCGGCAGACAACACGACGGAATCAACAGAGCCACTTGATGCCAATTCACTAGAAGAAATCGCATCGACCCGGAAATCCAATGGCTCGGGGCCCATGAAACGAACTTGGCCAAAAGACTTCCACGTATCCCCCTTTAACTCTAGAAAGGGCGCATACTCGCTTGTAGCGCACGACCCTCTGTCCCCAATTATGGATGGGCAAGGTCCGATTAATACTACGATAAATCTAATGTCTTCAAAGAACCACGCGAAACTGGTTGCTCGTATCTTCTCAGAAGGCGATGCCATCGATCCTACTAGGATGACCTCCCTTCAGAAACTCAAATTCTTGGCTTCATGGTGGTGGGTTGGCTTCGTCACTTTTCCTAGGATCGTGAAAGAAGCTGCAGCCCTATTCTTTCAAAGGAAGCTCCATGTATGGTATCGACCAGAGCCGCTCAAAACAAACATTGGTCGACATGCCGATAAGATAGAATCCCAAATTGAGCCTTTATTTAGGAGGTACTTGAGACATCTAGTCGAACAGTCATCCGAGCTACTAGTTGTGCGATATATCCCATGCGGTATTGCAGACGCGCCTATTGAGACGATGGTATCAACGACGGCAAAGGAGAGCTCCAACCGTACTGAGAAGGTGGAACTCAAAGTCTTGACGCCCGCATTTTATTCGAGGTTCGTATACTACGCTCACGATTTCGAAGCTATATTTTGTGAGCTGAACGAGAGTAATACGATATGGGTGTCAAATCCTAAACTGTTGCCAAAGCTATTTGTGAAGAAACAACCACCGTCTCTACTTCAAACAACAAGTTATTTGGACTATGGTTGTTTTACGGCTATCAAAAAGCTACGGCAGAGACCCGAGCGAATTGAACGACCACTGACATCGAGTCAAAACAGCTCAACCACCCAGTCTCAAAAGGATATCAGAGGTTTCCGGCTTTCGTCCATGGATGGATATGTTTTAGCCCATGAGGATGACAAATCTCGACGAGTCTACAGGAACTCGCTATTGACGTTGTTCATGGCTGATAGAATTGCTATGGGTAGCGTGGACATTCTCCAGCTTGAACATTGGGTCCTTAGGTTGGTATTAGCTTGGACTGTAATTTCTTAATGGGTTTTGTGGATTAGGACATCCGGCAAATTCCATTGGAAGAGAGTCGCAGTGTCGGAGATGACTAGTGAGAATCCTCGGAGGATTTTCAGATCTGTTACATATCGTTCGGCTTGTACAACCTGCAAGCTTCAATGCGGCGCTCGGTAGAAGAGCGATCATTGGGACACAAAGTTATTCCAAATAAAAAGAGCCAGTCAGCATCAGCACATCCACTTCGGGGGCTAATCAAACACTTTGTATCAAAGTTGATGGCTTCGAGCAGCGGAGCTCGGACTGGGATGTTTGACAAATACTTAACTGCTTGGTTAGTTCGATATGCAGCAACGATGATTCCGATCCAGGTCTCATGTGATCCAGGTCTCATGTTAGTCTAGTTAATGCAGGTTGGTCCATTGCCATGATATCTGGACAAGCATCGAATTAGGTTGATTCGGCTCTGGTCACTATTACTTTTTCATGAGAAGTAAGCCCAATCGCAATGCGGTAAAACTGCCGGGAATATCACGGTCTACGTTGAGGTCCTATGTAGTTCAAGTTGTCACCGCCATGTACTCGTACGTTCTACGCGATCTATTCTCTACAGCTAGATGAGAGATCCACCCCCAACTCCGTTAGGGCTGCAAGGAATCAGATTCCGTGCTGCCGTGCTACGTCAACTGGGTTCCTGACGTAGACTAGCAGCAATAAGACGCATACCCCCACCAATAATCCCTTGGAGCTACCAACCCCGCCGCGAAGGAAAAGCTCTTCGATGAAGACGAGTACTCGAGGTAGGTATTTTTTAATAGTGACTACAAGGATCTTTCAGACGTAAGAGTGACAACAGAAGGGGAAAAGCTGCAAGTCTAGTCCGCCAATCCGATAACAATGACAGTCTACTCCGAAGCCAGGGGAGCTCCCGCCCCGAGTTGAATCAGCCAAGCTATGTCATAGTATCAACATTGTTTGTGCCACGGGATTCTCCACGAATATTAAAGCCGTCTTCACATATATAAAGGTATCCCATCTACTGTTAATTTGGCTTTAAGTCTGTCCTATTATACCATCATATTCCAACATACCGCAGGCTTACACAAGTTTATCCGTTATAAGTTATAATCCACTGAACAATATATACAATACAAATATATATTAACATTCTAAACCACAATGGGTCTCTCGGGTCACTGTCTCTGCGGCGCCGTAAAGTACACCGTCGATGCGGATCCCCTCATCGTCGGGTACGACCACTGCGACGACTGCCAAAGACAGACGGGCTCTACCTACTGTACGTCAAGGCCCTCTATACCATACCATACCATACCATATCATATCATGCTACTTCGTACAGTGCCTTCCACCCCCCAACCCCCATGATCTTTCTTAGCCGTGACCCCTCCAATTACATTCACCAAAACCGATCCGCTAATCTAGTATAATAATAGCACTCGTGGTAGTTGTCCCTAAGGACAAGCTAACCATTAACGGCACAACCAAGAGCTACGCAAAGGCGGGCTCGTCTGGCAAGCCTGTGCACCGTATCTTCTGCCCCGAGTGCGGGTCTCCTATCGCGCACGACCCGGAGGCGGCACCCCCAATCATCGCTCTCAAGGGCGGCACTCTTAGCGATGCGGATAAGAAGGCATTGAAACCTGTAAGCTCACCCGCCTGTCTGCCTAATCGCCCATCTCCACGTATTTCAATATCCTGTTCGTATATGGACCAAAGAAGGAAGGAAGACTGACCAAGCGTTTCAACGACTAGGACACCGAGATCTGGACCGTCGGCAAGCTGCCCTTCTGCGCGGAACACCTTGCTAAGCCGTTCGAGCACATGCCCCAGTAAAGGATCGACGAAGCTTCGATGGGTTGTTGCGTGAAGTACGAATTAAAATATATAGGTAGTCGTGGATATAGACAATGAGAGAGACATGATAATATGATCGATCGATCGAAATGAACTTTTGAAATTCCATACCTGTACCTACTGGAAACACAATTATAGCAATATTATGTTCGCTTCTATATCGACTTAGGCACTTCCCTACTTGAAGGTTTACCTACCGCAACTCATTACTAGAAGGTCCGCGATGGTATACTACTTAATAAATTACCAACCATCCAAGTCCCATTCCACCTCCCCGATATTCAGTCAAGTACACGACATCCGACACGATGGACTGACGTCGGAATAGGCGCGCCCGCACGTGGCCGTGGCCGTCTCCGGATTGGGCTAACGCAGGTACATCTGCGTCTCCTGACGGGAACCAAGATCCGACAATCGCTTTGCCGGACCCGCGACTCGTTTGGGCCTAGGTAGGCGTGTCTAGGGATAGGCGGGTGGTGTGATTGGCTAAAGGGGAAAAGGCTGGCTGGCAAGGTGGCCAGCAAGGTAGATGGGGGAGGTAGTAGGCGTGAAGTCCCGCCTAGTATGTATGTATGTATGTATTTATGTGTAAGCGGGTTAGATAGGTAGGTAGGAAGAAGACAAGCCTGGTTTCGATCGTTGCAGTGCCTAATATACGCGTAGATTGCGCCATTGGGCTAAGGTGGGCTTGGCCGGGATTAGATATATTGCCTTGAGCACGTTTTTTAGGTAAGACGTGTTTTGCTCCTATGGTCAATGTTCGGTTTTTATGAGTAGGTAGATAGATAGATGGATGGATATTATATTATATTATATTGCGTCGATATATTTATTATACATTATATCATCAGCGCGTATATTGTGAACCCTCTTATAAGACAGCCACTAGCGCACCACCTACCGCTGCCGCGAATATCGCTCCCTTTCCGCTCCCGGGCGCTCCCGTAGGAACCGCGATATTACTGGAGCTTGAGGATGTTGCCGATGGTGCATTAGTAGTCGACTCAGCCCCTCCGTTCTGAGAAACTCCACCCGTCGCCGTCGCCCCCGAAGAACTCGAACTCGAAGCCTCTGCAGTAGCCGCCGTTGCGCTCCCCGTAATAGGACCCGGACCTTGGAAACCACTCGCCGTGTAGTACAAGCTCACAGCCGCATCGCCGCTCTTTACGTCGCTGAACGCCGTACCTCCCGTCGTAGGTTCCGGGACGCCGGCCTGCGCCTCGGTAAACAGAGTCGCGAAAGCCGCCGTCGGCGTGCCCTCGCACAGCTTCTCGCTGGCGCTGGATAGCACCTCGGAAAAGTAGCTGAAGTTGCGCTGCGATAGCGCGCCGTGCTCTAGCAGGCACCGGCGGCAGCCGAGCCACTCGGCGAAGTAGCTCCCGCCGCAGAGGCACTGCGCGTGCGCCTCGAGGGCGAGGGGAGACGTCCCGTTAGGGAGACATGCTGTCTCGATGTTCTGGATCGCGACGCACGGCACCGGGTCCGACTGGTCGGGAGCCGTGGCGGGAGAGCACATCGACGTGATGTAGTCGTTATCGTCATCGCTGGCGGCTTGAAGCACGTTAGCGGGTGCGTTCGCGAGGACGTGCTGCGCGCCGAGGAGGAATAACTGGGTAGCAACTGGTGCCGAGAACTTCATCTTGGCTACCGTATCTTGGTTTGTTTTGGCAAGTTTCCTTATTACTCTTATTTACCGATGGCCTCGTATATCCGCTCGTCTCTTTTCTCTACCTATGCGCATCCGAACGGGAGGGAACGGGAGTAAATGACTCCCACGCAAACGCGAAGCTGCGAGATTTTAAGCGACGCAGCATCGTAGGACTCTGTGCATAGGCGCTTGCCTGAAAACTTTCAGTATAGCGTCTGATTTGAACTTCTAGCTCCGGCGGCACAGCTTCGCGTCTAGACCTGGCGATTTGATGAGGCCCTTGTCTGCGTCCTGATTTGGTATGTATTTCCGTCAGCACACGGCGGGATTACCCGCCTATCCGGCTGCACATTTATGTCGCGATGCCGTGTGCAGAACCGAATTTCCAAGCCCTTTGAAATCGCAATACCTTCATTACCCTTTGGACGCAATGATGAATATTCCCTAGATCTCGTTACATTACGACTCATGTTTTTCAATGGGAGCACGGTGTTTCTTTATGCCTTTTTCGGTGGTGGGAGAGACGGCGGGTGCATCTATCTTTCAAACAAGTGCCTGTGTGGCTTCCCTCAAGCTCAGGCGTATGTGAACGAGTGTATCGGCTGATTTTGATAGCAATTGGATGTGCCAAGGGTACCCCTATTCCGTAGACGGTCTGTGTCCGTATCTTATATCGAGGGAAAAGTGAGTGATGCAGTGCCTATCCTCGTAAACCACAGTCACGAAGAAGTCTACATATCCGGGCTCCACAGTGTGTTCATCTGAGGAAGTGTGTATAAGCGTTGAACTTGTACTATAAGGTTGCTGCGGCATGATCGGCTCAGTCCTCCAAAACTTGAATTATCGAAACTCAATAATTAAAGGTTTCTTCGTAACTGTCCCGCTGTCACAGTAGAGTAGTTCTTGATATACTGAGAGTCTGTATGAGAAGTTCCGTCAGCACCATTCTATCTTTTATCCCACTCAGGGTCTTCGAGGCAAGTTTAACAATAGATCATCTTCTAATTTCCTGATGAAGACTATGATTATATCATCGTTGTTGTCCAGACAATGACAACCCAGGACGGCAACAATGTCTCTGCTGGTGAATTATCCATCAATAGGACCGGGGGGTTGGTCTGCCCAGCGTCTATCACAACGAAAAAGCGGGTTATATTGACCTCCTTGGCCCTTTAGTAGTATTTGTAGAGAGATGTAGATGCCCCTATTAGAAATAGTGTATGACAACCTATCTTAACTGTTTTTACATCTTAAAACGCGCTCTGAGTTAATGAATTAAATTACGAACAAGGCTAATAGACTACCGTCCAGGTCATCTGGATTGGTCGTTGGATCTTTTAATAATCTTCTCCTTTAGACGCAAAAGTTATTGTCTCCTTTGGCTGTATAGGAGAGGCATAGTGATGCCAAATATTCCGAGTAGGGAATAAGCTTAGTCTTTTAGACAAATTATTCCCCTTCGTGAGACCTAAAATATCTTCTGCTTAATGCTAGAACGCAAAATTTCAATTTCAATTTCAATAATATTAGACATATCATTACGCTATGTATTTCGAGTTCTAATGTCGACCCAATCTATCGAGATGAAGACAAGAACTCTTACATTTAATTAAGTACTTGAGGTACGTACTTCTTGCGATAGGTAGGTACCTATGTATTTTCAAAGTGACAGCTTGATTAACCTCACTTATCAAACTGATTATGAAAATCGAAAATAAATTTGCGCTACAGGCGTGATTTGCGGTAGTTAAGACTTAGTGACAGAGTGATATATATCAGAAATCAACAAGGCCAGTGTAACCAACCTTACTAGTAGTTAGGCTGATTTTAAAAACTATTAGTTATAAGTGTTTAGGTGACTTTGTTTCTTAAAATTACGACGTCCTCAATGTACTTTAATTAAAATAAAATCGATCTATAGTTAACATTACAAACTTTACTAAGGTGTACAGTTGCTTCGTAAGGGACCTATCTTGGATCAATGTAAATAGGAGCAGCTGTATTTGTAGGGAGGTGCGAGATGATTTAAGTGTGGTACCTGCTTGGTTATGGAAATAAATTATTTGTACGTAGGGAAATCAAACAACTATGCGTATTAAGCTAGTAGAATCAGTTGCAAAGCTGATTCTAAAGTTGATTCTAAATATTATTGATAGGTACGTACCTTGGCACTGCGTATTTTGATTTGATTTTGATTTTCAGTTGACAATCTATGCGTGTCCTAGGTGATGGCCACCTGTTGTACTGACGATGCTACTGATTTGATTTACTTAGGTACTTCTGATTTAATCCCCTTCTTGAATTTTAAATATTTTTGACCTTCTAGTAACTGATTACATTCCCATTATTCCTAATCACTCTTCCGAAATTTTTCTATTTAAAGAAGCCCACCCGCAACCCAAAAATTATTTCCAACTTCATCCACCTTCAACACATTTCCCAACACAACCTCTCCTTTCCTATTTCTACTACCTTACCTCATCAACAATATTCTCAATACCCTTTTAACATATCGAACTTGTCTCTTAATCATTACCTTATTGCACCATACCTATTGACCAACCTCACTCAACGGTATGGCTATTGTTTTGTTCTTATTTTCTTGAAAAGGATTCTCTGAGTTGAGGTACGTATTGGATTTTTATTTATTATCCTAACGCGTCTGTTATACTATGGCAACAAAGCCTACATGACAACACAAGTCATACTTCTTCCACTATGATGCGAATCGTCTCCGACAACGCATCTCTTCCAACCTTATCACTTTACACATTTCTTGTCGAGAAAGGGTGGCAGGCTGCTGTTTTCCCATTTCTTGCTCAACTTCACTTTCCACTTTTCACTTTCCATCATCTCCCCCCTCCTCCTTCTCGTTACCATGACCACCACCCCCACTACTACTACCAATTCTCTTCTACTTCACAAATTTCAAACGACTCAACATGTTGATGACCTTCAAAGTTCTTACTGAACTCATGAATCTATCTACCCTTACCCTAACTTGTTGCCTAAACCCAGACCTTACACTGAACACTACCACCCTTTATTATATTTGTCTTCTCAACCCTTCTTCTACCTTGTCCCCAACCTAATCAACTCCGCACAACTTCTAGATTTAAATGCTCACATTTATTACAGGCCCTCAAGACTTTGTTCTTGATTGTTTACATCTCGGCCCCCCTTACCCACCTCACTGACTAGCCCTAGTTTCTCGACCAACAATCCTCTCCTTTGCCACCCACCGACTAACCTCCTCCTACCCTAACCGACGCTCCTTTTACTTACGACCGACTTCCTACCTTCTCGCCCTTCCCTCGACCGACCAACAATCCTTTCCGCCCGACGCTCCTCCTCGATAAACCGACAAACCGACCAACACTCTACACTTATATATATACTGGACAGGGATGTGGTGCTTGGTCCTGGGTACGAACTTGCACTAGAGGAATATGCCCGACCCCAACAGTCAAAGACACACCTCCGAAGGCTGAATGAAACCCTTTGCAGGGAATCGGCATTGCGCGGTTAAACCGGCTCTCGCACGGCCCGGGTCCCTCGACTTGCTCCCGTATTCTCTTACCTTTATCTATGAGAGAAGAAATTCCGGTGATCGGTTCGAGTCCGGCACGCGGTGGGAGCGAGATATTGTAAGCCTGGAGAGGAGCGCACTCTGGACTATTTTCTCTCTTACACGCATTGCACTCTCGGCCATAGTTGGAACTGACCCTGCGGTAACGGAGGTGGGGTGAACGCGGCAGAGGGTATGTGACGCCGGGGTCTTTCACTGCTTTGGCTGTCCTAGGTGTGCTTTGGCTCAGTTGGAAAAATGAATTTTTGGAACCTTTTTAAAGGCTTGTGTGCGGCCTGTTTCTGGTATTACACTACCTCCAGAAATGAACGCATGCAACTGGGCTCAGTTGGTGAGCGGAATGCTCTAATGCATTCTATAATTTTTTGTATCAATGGCTGCATGTGGCCAGTGTCTCTGACCAAACACGTGCACCCCCTTTTTCATTGCTCTCTCCAATCTATTGGAAGTGTGAAGAAGAAGCTGAAGTTTTATTATTATTATTATTATTTGTGTATCGATATTATTCGTTATCTTGTAAGATAGTCCCTGTGGGGATATCATTGTCCATGATGTTAGGATGTAGCTGATTTAGAGCATGTGGAAGTATATACTAACGCATCAGACGGCTTAGAATACCAAGGTTGTATACGGTATATTCTTCCAGTTACGACTGACTGCTCTGGTACGTAGGATGGCTGAAGTTGATTTGTATATCAAAGTTCCCTCGTTTGTTCATTTGTTTTTGGAAACACCGACAGCACGCATGTAAGGCTTTTGGTATACATGTATAAATCTTCGACCGAGGCATTCTCTTTTAGGCATTAATATGTGAAGGGTTACATTGTGATAGATCAACCCGGGGGTTATTAGGTTATGAGCTATGGTTGATGTTGTACTATAACGTACAAGGCTCAAGAGATGGACCAATGAGATTCTATTCCGGGCAGAGAGGGGCAGAGCTGCTAGACTTGCCAAATATGGTGATTCCGACCGGAGAGCGGAGAATCAGCTAAGTTTACATTTCGAATCAAGCTCATGCTAATAAAGTTATAAATTGAAGTTTTCCATCTTATTTGAATTCTGGTTGAAAAAGCTGTAAAGCCTAATTCGTATCTAACTGATTAAATAATGGCACCTCTAGGAATAGCGATTATCGGTGGAGGTATCTTCGTCAAAGAGCAGCATATAGTGAGTATTTTGGAGACGTTCGTAGTTTATCCCTGCCCGTCAAACGCCACGGGACTGGCATTATGCAAAATTCCACCCAAGAGGGCTAGGCCCCCGGACAGACACATCCTAAACCTCCTCCGGTGACATTAGCTAACATACTACCAGCCCGCTGCTCTTGCCTCCCCCCTGCTTTCGATTAAGGCTATCTGGTCCCGGTCTCGTAAGAGCGCAGAAGAAACCTCATGGCTTGTCTCTGGAGATGCTATTCCCTCGGTGGATCTGTACTCTTCGGATTCTGGAGATGGCAACTCTTATGAAGATCTCCTTAAGCGCGACGACATAACCGGAGTTATAATTGCTCTTCCAATCCTAGATCAGCCTGCATATATTGAAAAGGCTCTGGCGGCCGGAAAGCATGTCCTAGCAGAGAAACCGATAGCTAAGGACCTTGAGACTGCTAATAAGCTGATCGCGTACTCGAAAGCAATTTCGGCCAGGACTAAGGCGTCCTTAGCTATAGCAGAAAACTTCCGATTCCAACCAGGCTGGGCCTATGGTGCCGAGGAGGTCAAGAAGCTCGGCAAGGTTACGGGGTTTGTGGTGAGGCTGCACTCTATGATGGAGGCAACCAACAAGTACTACCTCACACCGTGGCGGACAACACCGCAGTACCAGGGCGGGTTCCTTTTGGATGGAGGTGTACACTTCACAGCTGGCATTAGGAGACTCCTAGGCGCAGAAAATGCCATCGACACCTTAGTGGCTCAAACCGCTCTGGTTTCAAGCCATCTGCCTCCGGTAGATTCCATCAATGCGGTCTTGAAAACGAAGTCTGGTGTAGTGGGTTCGTATATTACATCGGTGGGAACAACTATGGATGCATTCGAATACCACATCGCCTGCGAGCAAGGTGTTGTTAAGGCTGAGGGAGCTAAGGTAGTTACACTCCGAGGAGTTGGGAAAAATGCCGTGGCAGAGGAAAAGGTGTTCGAGAAGACCAGTGGGGTCAAGGAGGAGGTTCATGCCTGGGCTGAGTCTATTGTGTCGGGAGTACCAAATCCCAACCAGACTCCTGAACAGGCACTCGCAGATCTAGAACTAATTGAGAAGATGTTGTCAAGCGGCGAGCAGGATGGGGCGCGTCTGAAGCTGGAGTACCAAGGTTTCGTATAGGAGGAATTTTCACAACTTGCTGAAATTAGGTCCTACATGTAACTTCTCGAGTCCCTGCCGTAGTTTAGAATCCATACCGTTGGTATTGGGTCGTTGTGTTGAGCGGTCTACGAAGACTTGAACGTATTCGCCCACAGCCTTGACTTGCTCAACGCCCTTCTCGAACAGTGCAATCTCATAGACGACACTGGATTTCCCCAGTTTATTGACCCGAAGGCAGAGTTCAGCAATCTTAGGGTATGATATAGGGGATAAGTAATTGCAATGCGTCTGAGCCATTAGGGGATGTTGCGCCGAGGTTGGTGGATGTAGGGCACAATGGTCAATTAAATAAGAATTAATCACAGAATCAAAGCTAGTGGATGCCTGGTGTTAGAAACTTTTCTACTAAGTGTCATCGAGTTAACTAACAGAAAGTTGTAGACTGAATTATTCATATGATCGTACATGTCGTTGTCGCTCCTAGAGAGGTGTTAGGTACTTAGAGGTCCGGGAGGTAGGGATAGGCGTACCATCGTGTTCGATATTCAAGCATAAAGGGGTAGTCCCTTCTACTTCTACCTTTTAATTCCTTACTTTGAGCCATGTTTATATAATTACTTGTACTAGATGAAAGTTTAGTGGATTTCTGGTCGGCCCAGGCTGGAATGTTGTATGTTGTCAACTTATCTTGGGACGTATTTTTTTGAACTAAAATCTGTTGGTAAGTTACATAGGTACATGTATAAGGTAAGCAATGGGTTACCTAAGGCGGTACAGCATCGGATATTTAGTCGGGCCGTTCCATACTGCCGAGGCTCACCGACAAATATTCCCCAGATCCATACGCAAATGTTTCTTTGAGTTTGGAACCTGAATATTACATACTTTAGGAATGTAACAGGGACCTCGCAATTAACTTCAATAGATTAGATTTTGGAGAAAATGTGATGCATTTATGAATCCTACCGCTCTGCAAAGTGCGAGCTTATTTTTACTGAAATAATTTGATGTTAGCAGGGCTTCTTCGATCCATCATTCATCATGAACGACGTTGCAGAACTGTCGCCTTCGACAACAACCCCTGCGGCAATCATCATGCCGGATATCAAAGCTTTGACCATCACTGACCCAACAACTGCCATGAAAAAAGAGAATGGTATATCCTCTGACCTAGCAACTCCGTGCGCTGATATTTGGCCGCGGCCATATTACTTCGAGAATGGGTTGCGACGTGTCGCTCCGTATCACTTCACGTATAAAACCTGGTGTAAACAGCGCTGGAGAGGCAGGAAACTCATAGACGTGTTCGAGAGCGAGTTTAGAGACCGACCTCTAGCATACTATAAAAATGCTATGGAAACAGGTCAAATATGCGTCAACGGGAAACCGACTAGCCCAGATCATATCCTCAAAAATGGGGAGCTTGTGTCACATACGATACATCGGCACGAGCCACCAGTCACGGCAGATGATATAGGAATCCTCCACGAGGATGAGGATATGATTGTAATCAACAAACCTTCTGGAATCCCGGTACACCCCGCAGGAAGATATAATTTCAACTCTGTCATCGAAATTATGAAGGCCGAGAGGGGTCCAGACTGGATCGCATATACTTGTAACAGGCTTGACAGGTTAACCAGCGGTATCATGTTCGTCGCAAAGAACCCCAAGGCGGCCGATCGCCTAAGCGAACAGATCAAACAAAGAAGTGTGCGAAAAGAGTACATTGCTAGGGTGATCGGCAACTTTCCTGACGAGGAAGTAGTTTGCAATCAGCCTTTGCTTCAAATCTCCCCGAAACTTGGGTTGAATCGAGTGCGGGCAAACGGGAAGACGGCTCGCACGGTTTTCAAAAAGCTAGCATATTATCCCCCACGTGAGCCGCGAGGGAAGGGAGATAACGATACTTCTGGAATAGCAGGCGTTTCCGAAGATAAGGGTAGGCCATGGCTACGTAAGGAGGGATATTCCATTGTGCGATGCCTTCCGGTTACCGGTAGGACTCATCAGATCCGCGTTCACCTCCAGCATTTAGGACACCCTATTCAAAACGATCCTATTTACGCCAATCAAAGGGTTTGGGGAACGAATCTCGGGTACAATGACCCCGAGGCCCTTGAAAACACAGATGATGATATTATTACACGTCTCAATCGGATGGGAAAAGAAGAAGTGGCAGACGCCGTTGCTTACCATGATGAGATGGTGGACGAGTACTACAAGAGAAAGGCGGAAAAGATGTCTGGTGAGCTCTGTAAGATCTGCGATACGCCATTATACACAGATCCCGGACTGCAGGAGCTTTCGCTATGGCTACATAGCCTTCGATACGAGGATGCGGGCGGAGAGTGGAGCTACGTTAGCCCTCTTCCTGGCTGGGCTTTACCCCCTTCTGGCATGTCAGGGCCTACAGAAGTCGGAGGTATGGAAGAACTAGTCTCGGCAGTAAAAGATGTCAACCCCGAAATTGTATGACTTCCTGCCCATTGACCCCCAATCGACCATCACCTATCGAATAGTTCAAAGATAACGAGCAAGTAATGACAGCATTGCCCATTTGGTCGGTACCGGGCGGGATTTCAAGTACCATTACCTGGTTTGCCAATTTCTTCCGACGTTCACCTACCAGGAGCAATGTGACCCTTTATCACAACCCTTTACGACTAAGTGGGACGTAAAGACCAAGTGCGGGATTGTGCGGTACACTTCTTTACTACATCACAAACAGTGCTTATAAGGACTAGTCTAGTAAAATGATACTAGCTATCTCCCTGGGTACCTAGTTGACGATGAAAATGCATCTACTTGGAACTACTAATACGTTTGAAGTTTTGGCTCGCCACTTGAGGTATTCCCATAGAAAGAGTTCAGATGACATCCAAGCACTGTATGGTGGCCGCGGCATCACTTTGATCTTGATCTCCATCCCCCAGATCTTAGCTCCCTTGAAAGAGCATTCGCCTTGAACTAATTTCAGTTTCACCAGGCTACCGTAAGTCGTTTCCCGCGTCGTTAATTTGATACGCTTGGCAAATATAATGCGCAGCTCTTGTGGGGCTCTGCGTTAACGTCGGGGGGTCGTAGTCGCGACGGACTACTCAATAACAGCTATATTACGGAATACGGCCAGAGGTCTTAGTGGTATATGACACTCACGATATAGAAATCCTCTTCAGCCGTCACGGCAACCAAGAAGTTGTGGTAGCGTTTAAAAATGGTTAGAGTCGGCGCAAATATTACGGATATAATAATCAAACGCATCACCATTCACCTCTATACGTCTTAACATCCATGCAAATCCGCTGGGAGTAACTCAGGTACCTAATCCGAAGGTCATAAATATGATACAGCTTTCCTTTACTATGTGGCAACTAAGTCTCCATTTCTACTCAGGAATTATCAGAAGGCCTTACAAATCTTCATAGGATATTAAATTTCCATACGAATTGAAGTCGCCGAATTCGGAAAGATAGGACCTAGAGAATGTTGGCATCATAGAAGTTGGTCTGTGCAATTATCAACTCGCCCAATTCGTCTCAACTTATCGGACCAACCCGAAGGCTGCATTTCCCCAGAGTTATAACAGATTTTGACGTGGTTCCCAGAATTAACCCACTGTCTTTGTATAGGCGTACTTATGCGCCCTCTTCGCGCATTCCGGGGACTCGCTCCGAGGGGTCTTCCATGGACCGGTTCAAAATGGCCTCCATCTAGTGGCGTAGCGTAAAGTCTACTTAGAAACCCTGACCTTGCCGTTGACGCTATATATTTCCATATATCCTGGGACAAACGCCTCAGCGTCGCTGAATTGAAGCTGTCTAGCGGACTAGGATCGAGGCTGTCACGATTACTTGGGCTAGTTGGGAGTGGAACTTTACCTTCGGGTCCGTCGATGGAATAGCTAGGTGCCTAGCGAGTATGGCCAGAGTATATTCCAGGCTATCTTCCGAAGAATTACTTGTGTACGTAGTAATTTGGTAAATAGCCTGGAAGGATGTTGGATTCCTGTAACCTATGTGGAATTTACCTCCTTGTAGTACCGGGAGTATCCTTCAAGTTCTAGTCTCCCATGGGGAAGCCCTTTCAAGGATGATGGGCTAGCTATATTATTCGCAGTTCTAGTTCTTGCCATATGGCGGTTACATGCTTAGCCACCCCGTCTATTACCTATATAATACTCCAAGTTATGTCAACATGATTCTCATCTGATCTTCTGTTATGTAGATCGAAACGACTAGACACATCGTCTAATCCTTAAAACTCTTGGAATCACCGAAGACTTTAGGCACTTCCTTTGCCATATCATCTTACACAAGAGCACAAGAGTTATACTGCAGTCAAAACTGAATCCGAAGATGTCCAACAGCATGAAGCCCACAGGAGAGGCCAACAAGGCTGGGAAGCGCAAAGGTAGCATATACCCTGTCTTTTTAAGTAGTCTTGGCTGAAGTTGACCTTATGCATATAGGGACCAGGAGTGTATCTACACTTACTCCTTCGCAGCTCGCTCGAAAGCGTGCTAATGATAGAGAGGCTCAAAGAGCAATTCGTGCTAGGACGAAAGAACATATTGAAAGTCTTGAGAGAGAGATAGAAGGGCTCCGCAGCCATCAAGATCGAGACCAAACTATTCAAACTCTCCTCCGGAGGAATAAAACCCTAGAAAATGAACTTCATCATCTTAGAGAAAGCATGGGTATTCGTACTGCTAACACAAACGAACAATACCACCATGGTATGCACTTCATATTATCTTCAGTGTACGATTCAGCAACTAATTGTTCTACAGTATTCAACAGTTCTAGCCCTCCAGGACCCCATTCCTTCGGGCAGTCTGGGCCCAACTTTCCCATGATGCAGAACATCTCTTCTTACAACAATATGCCCGATGCTGCAGAAGGTTGGCCAGCAACTGGGCCATGTTCCCTCCCATCTACAGCCTCTAGTCCTGTCTCCTCCGTTGGTACAGACGATCTTGGGGGTAATTACATTCCTAGTGGTGCTCCCACCACAGTCTTTGAGCGGTCTAGCATACCCCCGAATGCACGCTCTCCTACCATCTCTTGCGTAAATGGCGAGACTACCTTTGACGATCCAAAGCCCGGTATGTTTCCGATTATGATATAGCAAATTTTGCATCTGAGCTTCTAATTAATATAATTATAGGATATGGATGCAACCCGATCAACGTCATGCCTGTCAACCCAGCTTATCATTTTCAACCTTGGAATATGTATCCAATGCCGCAATACCAGTCTCAACAGGCTACACTCGGGCACAATCCACATATACCCCAGATTGGAAGATGCACCTTCTGATCATGAAGGCATCATGCCGAAATGATGAGTTCCTGATATGATATATCGAGGACTACCGATGCCCAATTGATATGACAGGGGAGCAGTCGCGGTCAGAAGTCATATATGGTCCAGCGCATCCAGACGTTCGACCACTTCTACGCGAGTCCGCCGAGGTCTTATCCGGCCTTAAAATATAAGGATATCCAATACAGCCTTCATCAAGTAAAGGCCAAACGGTATTATCACATCCTCTCGTTGACTTCGCTGCTGCGCTGTTTGATTGTGACCACCTAGTTGGGACACTTGAACACGTAGGTAGCTTATTATTATACCCAGTCCTCATTGTCTGGTTAATGAGACCGACTCAGGAGGCGTATACTAGACTCAGCAGAGTTTTAAAACCCAAGTCGAGTCAGCGGATGATACCACACCGGCAATGAGTCGATTTGCTTTTCCAGCCGGCGCCGCGCGACACAGTTACCAAGCAACAAGGTATCTACGCTAACACGGAATTTCGCCATACCCACAACAGAAGTTGACAGGTCATTAGTTGGCAGATGGTATTGCCAGAGCATTAATTAACGGCGCTACTGGCGCTACTGGCGCCATTTATGCAAGAAAGGAGTTTAAGGGACATATACGGAGGCTACAAAAGTAGGCGCTACATGAGAACTTCACAATACGTTATCCGGAATCACAGGTATAGTCAGTATTGCTACGCACTCACATTAAATTATCTTGATATAGACTACCTACTTATGAATTGAGGCATGGATGGGACGATAAATGATTAGCATAATGAATTCGGGGGAAATTTCCGATGTTTTAGGTAGTTAATAAGGCAATATGTCAAATGCCTAGCTTGACTTCATATTAGATATATACTACACCAAGGCCCCCTTTGGTCTACATGGAGAAAGCAGCTGACCTAGGTTAGGGTAACGTAACTCCACATCGACTAGTAAATTCCCTGAGGTACATTTGTGATAAAAGAGGACGCCAACAGATAGTGGTAAATATCTAGCAATGAAATAGGGGGTATGTTATTATTCCCTACTACCATTCTACCAAGTATTCCATCCGGTGATGGAATATTTAACCGTGCTCTACGTGTTTTATCCTAACGATTAGAATTCGATTGTTATCAATATTCAGCCTCGTTATCCCTTGCTGACGACTCTGCGTTCCCCAAACACATCATGTGGCTGGTAGCACGAGCTAAGTTCAGGCGTGGTCACAACTACGATATATTACGTGGATACCCCAATACTGGCTGGTAGATTAACAAACACAACTAAGTGATCGCACAAATTTCTTAGTTATGATTGGTGATAACTATATGGTAACTAAATTAATTAGACAGCTAAGCATCTATGATATTACCTTAGCTCTTTGATCTAGACTAAAGCATATTCTGTTGGAAATCTGGCTACTTTGAACACTCAACTTTTCCCTTCGTGAAACTTAGTTAATAATCATAACTTCACTTGGCTGGTTAAGATGTTCATCAGGTCAGCCTAATTAAGTGAGCCTGGTATAAATGCTGCTTAGTGTAGAAGCTACCAAAATGCCCAAACAAAATGATCACCAGCTAGGTTCTAGCTTCGCATCTACATCCTAATGTAGCTCTCCCGTGTCTAATTTTGCACTATGTTAAGTAGATGATAGAATACCACACGGTCATAACTCGAATATATTTACCTGGTTAGTGTTGATAAACATTATAACAACAGAATTAATCGGCCCTAACCCACCAAAATATCGAAAGCATACGTGTCTCACCCACTCACAACAGCCTCAACGGGCTATAGTAGTATACGATGCTTGATACTCAGACTATCCCCATACTAATGCACAATTGTTAATTCCGTCCATGGCTAACTTAGGGTGCATGAGGTATATGAAATTTCGTAAGGGGAGTTGACTACGTTATTAGTGGTCTATATTCGCACACTTCAAGGTATCTAGTATGTATGGCGGATTATTGCGGTCACATTGCTTATGAAACCCCAACCATGTAGGCTATGGCTTTTCCAGATGCTTTCGTAATGGCCTCTACTTTTCCAAGTGAAAGAAAGTCATGAGATCATTTTGCATCATTTTTGGCTAAGTGACACGTGAACTAGGAAACTCGAATACTTTAGTTGAACTCTACCTGGAGCAGGCATACCTACG